AGATCAACAGAAGGCAGAAGCTTAATTAAAAGTATAATAAAAATGCATTATGGGGGGAGGCTTTATAATCACACGTTCCTCTTTTCAGAATACGTTTTATTTAGGGAGAGTCTTAGAAATCAAAGAAATTGCAAAGATTTTTAGAAAATACAAATTTACAAATCAACCATTGTAAAATATTTATTATGATGGATTGAGCAAAAATAGGGGCATATGTATACCTCTGTGCATGCATGAATTAGTCAATAAGTACAGGAAAAGAGGGAGGAAATGAAAGCAAAGAAGAGTTAATGCACATCCAACAGAGAGATGGTGCATCAGGAAAGAAGGCACAAAGCCAGACCCACAGCTGGTGAATCAAATCCAACTGAAGGAAGGTAGATATGATTACAACAAATTCGACCAGGAAAGGGACAGGATTTCTTTCTAGTGCAACAGAAGTATTAAATTTTATTAATAGCACAATTAATTATTAATTAATAATCCAATTAAGCATTAAAAATATTAATAATAAAGACAGTCAACAGAACCTATCACCATTAGGATGTGTCATGGACTTTTAAGACCCAGTAGTCTCTGCCATATTCAGGACTCCTGCAGTTGTTTGAACAGCACTGATAACTACATTTAGGTTCTATTTTGCACCACTTCTTTGTTTTATAAAATTTTTCTTTTATACCGGTTTATTTACAAAGTTTGTACACATTGTTTTTCACACTGGATCTTTCCCATTTCCCAACCCACCTTTCCTTCTCCACCCATCACATTGTGCAACCCCATTCTTCTGGCTCTCTTTACTTTCAGCTAAGACCCATCTGACATCAGCAATGATATCCCTGGTGCCACAGTCTCTTCTAAATATTGCTTGAACTTCTGGAAGTTCCCTATCTATGTACTGTCCTAGCCATTTTTTAATGATGTGCAGCAGTATTTTGCTTGCATGCAATATTAATGAGCTGCTGCTCTCCCTTTCTAAGAGAGGTACTAACAACATGTGCAGAGTCAAGACTATCAGGAGCCAAGAAGGAAATGCAAGCATCTCTAAATTCCATCATTACTCTGAGCTTATTCTTTAGTTCTTTCAGCTTAAGACGTGCTGAGTTCAGCCCTTTTGATTTTCTGACTCCAGCTCCTTGCACATTTCATTATATTTTGCCTTGTCTTTCCAAGTGGTGCTGGAGAGGGTGAAACCAAGTCTCTCCTTAGAGGCTAGGATTTTGAAGCTCTACCTCACATTCGACTGGTCCTTAGAGAAGGACATCATGCTCAGAAGGGTGGATGGACAGCACAGGAGAGGAAGGCCCCGATGAGATAGATTGATACATCTTCTGGGGCAATAGGGGTTGGTGTGTCAAAATTAATGAGACTGGTTCAGGACAGGGAAGGGTTCAGAGCTGGAGTACATAGATAGGGTCGCTATACATTGCAGCTGACTCAACGACACATAACAGCAACAACATACTATATTGTTTTGTTTTTCTAATTTAAGCCTCTTGTTCAAGACCTCAGGGAAGGCCTTTGTATTTAAAGTTGGTTGTTACTATATTTTGGAGGAACATTCTTCTTATTATTATAGCACTCTTTCCTCAATATGCTGTACTGAGGTAACTTGGGGTTGTGGTAAGGCCAAATCTTGTGCCACTGGGGTTCCATAACAGTTACCCGTGGTTTACAGTGTTTGGTGGAGCTCCCAGTTTAAGACTGGTTTGAAAGCAGGAGTGGCATACACTTCCTAAATAACATGCTTCCAAAAATTCTATGAACTAAGATAAATGTCGACAGTTATAGAAAAGCTTCAGGCCTTTTGTTCATAGGGTCACTATGAGTCATGCTTGACTCGAAGGCCATCAACAGCAACAATTCTAAGCTTTTAACAGTATTAACTAACTATATTCCAATTTTATAGTCAGTTGACTGATCTAAAAGTCAGTGGTTTTTTTTTTACAGTGGGTTTTTTTGTGTGTGTCTAGACTTAAAAGGAACCTTGGCTCTCTGGATCCTTACAGCTTCCATTACTAAGTGAAGATTTATAAGTTTGAGGAGATTTTTATTTGTTTGTGTTTATTTAAAGAGATAAACAATTTTTTATGAGTTACTTGCATTCCTAAGTTTAGTGTTAGCTCTGTTTGCCAGCAAACAGATTGTATTTGTTTCAACCACAGCACCATTTCTTCTGCATTGAAATCTAGTGTAATAAGATAAAATATTTTGTATTAAATGTGATAGGTTTAAGTAAAATTACATGACATACTTCCATCAAAAGGAATAAAAGTCATTCTTCAAAGCAGAATCAATTTGCAATTGTTACAGTGTTTTTTTAAAAAAAAAATTAACTGTGATTCAACAATGGTACTTTGAAGTCTTTGAAGTAATTGATATAAGGATTAATTCTCCATTTTAAAATCTGTTCTACTTTCAGTTTAGTAAAAAGTAACTCAAAAGAACCCCTCATTCTTGAATTTCAATTTGTAATCTACTTGGCATCATAAAAAATCTACTTTTCTAAAAAACAAAATTCTAATTTTATGATGAAAATGTCTTACTATTTTCATATTGAAAAATATGTGTTACTCTTGGAAGGGAGAACTTTATGTGTATGCTATTGTGTGTATATATATATATATGTATATATATATATATATCTTTATGTGTATATACTTGTTAAGTGCACAGTATAATATATATCACATATCTTAATGGATAGGTGACTCATTCCAAGCAGAGATTATGTTTTGTCCTTATTATTTAAAAATTTTCTTTGAAAGCTCAAGATTATAGTTAAAGCAATCTGCCACTTAGTTATATGTTCTGGAGATATAAAAGCAGTAACCCAAATACATATATGCAGCCTATGCTAGTTACAGCATCATTCACAATATGAAGAAGATAGAAACCACCTAAGTGGTCATAAATACATGTAGTATATGTTGTTGTATACCACTGAGTCGGAACTGACCCAGAGCTGACCCTCCAATGAGTTTGAGTTTTCAGAAGCAGTTAATTGCATGAGAAGGAGACTGCCCATCCTTCTCCCATGGAGCAGCTGGTGACCTCAAACCACATGCCTTTGGGACTGCAGTGCAGCTTCTTGCCAGTAGGCTACCAGAGATCTCCAGAGTACATAGAATACAATAGAATCCTATGTGTTGATTAAGAATAATGATGAGTCCATTAAACATCTAACATTTGTTTAAATCTAGAATAAATTATGCTGAGTGAAATAAGTCAAACAAAAAGGATAAATCTTGCATGAAACTCATAAACAATCCAAGATTGATATACATACTGAAAGCAGCACTCTTCAGTGGCTACAGGAAATAGGAGAAAGGAGGAGAAATATTTTACTACAGAGCCAAAAAACTGTTAGGAGTTGATTTCAATTCATAGCAACCCTCCATTGCATTTCCACATCTGTAAATCAGGATGTGAGGAGATTGTCCATCTTTCTCCTTACAGCTGCTTGTAGACTGGAACAACTGGAGACATTCAGACTCAGAGGATTGATTTCCTGGATTTGAAGTCTCAGAACCACAACTAAGTCAAGTATCATAGCTCAGGACAGGAAGATAATGCTCTATGTCCTAATTTGATGGGTATCATGTGGTTTGATGGGTTTTACAAGCTTGTGAGTGGCTCTCTAAAATACAACTTCCAATCTGGAGTGAAGAAGATTGAAGGAAACTAGGGAAAAGTACTAATGATCCACTCGAACGACAGCCTCTTCTATCTCGAGAGCAAAAGGTGATGCTGGCTTCCCACTTCTGACTATTCTAACTAGGCACATAAAAGAGAGTTCCAGTGAAAATAGGAGCGAAATGTCAGCCAAACTTAAAATAATAAAAGACCAGAGTTCCTCCGAGACTAGAGAAACCTTGAAAATATTGGTTCAAAATTCCCCTTTAACATAGAAGTGAAAGTAACCTTTCAGCCAAGTAATAAATTGGCCTAACAACACTTAATTATGCTCCTGTAAGCATAATTATATGAGACCAAATAGCCAATATTTACACACACAAAAAAAGGCAGGAGCGGGCAGGGAAACTTAAAGGATAGAAATAGAGCAGGTGGGATGAAGATGGTGAAAACGCTAGTGCATTACAAGGACTGCAACCAGCATCATATAACATTTTGTTTATAGGCTGTTTGATAGGAATCTAATTTTCTGTGTAAATTTATGCCTAAAACAAAGTGAAAAAAAAATTAAATTATCAACTTCAACATTCTGATTTCTTAAGAAATTTTTGGGGGATTTCCAGATTAAATTCATGTAAATTTGAAGAGAAATGAAAAGTTGTCAATCCTATGTTAATCTAATCCCCCCCCACCCCAACTGGATGGAAACCGTGACTCTCTTGAAAATATCAGTATGAACATCAGTGAATTTTCTTCCCTACAGCCCTCAGAGCTTAAAGAGTGGCAAACTCAACCTAAGACCTCATTTTGAAAAAAATTAATAGTAATAGGTTAAATGACAAATGTTCAATAAATGGAAGAGAGTTCTCTTGTACCTCCAACACTTTTTTTAGAGGACAAATGTCACATCCTGGTTTGAATCATTACTGGGAAGCTAGATTGACAATGCCATTGACTGCTGAAATATATAATGCCTCAAAGTAGTATTATCTTACCTGTCATGATTTAATCATTCCTCAATTTGAATCCATTTTCCATTGCATATTTATGATTTGCCAAAATGAAATTTAGTATCGTTTTAGTTACTTTAGAAAAGATTTCCAAATTCTTTGATGCCTTTGTATAACATTCCTGCTAATTTATCCCACACTGACATCACTGATATTAACTGCTTATAATTGACAGAACCATCTCTAATCCATAGAATACTGGGGGGAAATGAAAACTCAAAAGTGTCCTCTGTGACTTGACCTGGCCTTAAAAGAACATGAGTCATTTGTATTACTCTAAGTGAGTTCTGGTGTATTTAATGTTCTGTGTTTTGTGTTTTTTTTGTTGTTGTTTTTTACCTCCTTATCCCTTTCCAGTGAAATCAGATGAGTTACAGACAATCAAGAAAGAATTAACCCAGATCAAAACTAAAATTGACTCCTTGCTAGGGCGCCTGGAGAAGATTGAGAAGCAGCAGAAAGCAGAGGCAGGTAAGCGACAAGCATCTGTGACCAGAGACAGTTTGAAATTAAACCAGAGAAGTCCCATCAATCACAGAGACAGCCCAAGGCAAAGGGGACACAGAGTTTAATAGATGATAGATAGATAGATAGATGATAGATAGATAGATAGATAGATAGATAGATAGATGATAGATAGATAGATAGATGGAAACATTATGGAATTGCAATGATTGAGGATGATTCCTTTGCTTTCAGAGAACATGAACTGCTTTTTCTAAGATTTATACTAAATGAAAAGCAATAAAAAAGTGTTCTGCTGGAAATGAGTAGTTGTTGAATCACAGTTGTTTGTATATGAATATCAAGTAACCTCTAAGAAAATAAAATCAACTCATGGAATAATCATTCATATAATTTTAAAAATATTGATATTTCATTGGTGTTGTGTATCAACAAGTCGGAACTAACCCATATTGGGTTTTCAGAGACAGTTTAATTGCAGGGGAGATTGCCCATTTCTCTCCTGCTAAGCTACTGGTAGATTCGAACTGGGTGCCTTCAGGATTGCAGAGCAGCTCCTTACCACTAGGCCACCAGAGTTCCCTCACATTTCATTACTGCAAAATTCAATGAGTTTTCATACATTATATGAAAACCAACCCTGTCCTTGCTGCCACCCTGCAAATCTTCAGAACTCTTTCCTCAACCTCATAACAGTATTCTGTATCTGGCTGCCAAGTAACCAAGTTACTTGATTACTTTTGTAACTTTATAACTTAGTGGTCTTTCTCTTTGAATTATCAGCCCTGACCTTAGTTCTGTTATAATTACAATTTTAATGACCTTTTAATGTAACTATAGATATGGGGTTTTTTTCCCTTACATTCTTTTCTTTCTAATTTTGCTGAACATTTACAGAGATTTTGGATTTCCATTCATTCATTGTTGCACTTTTCTCCCTGCCCACCCCTCCCCCATAGATATGTTTTCAAAATTGTGAAATATGAAAATTTGGAGAAGCTTAAAGAAGAATTAGTCCACCATTTGAAAGATATGTTCTCCAAGGCCTTACATAGCTGGAAACAGGGAATATAGATGGCCCGATAGATGAGTCAGCATCTGCCTTCTTCAAACCTAACCCTTGTTTGACTAGTGTAGCAGTTCAACAGAAGACTTAATCTGCTGAGTTTCACTTTCTAAAAAAAGGTATAATTGTGAAAGTTGCTGAGCCAAGTCCAATGTACTCATTTCACAGATGAAAAACTAGCTCAAGAATGTGAATTGATCTTTTCTCCCCCTTTGGCAATATACCTTGTCAGTGCTAAACGCTGAATTCAAGTTCATTTCTTAGCTTCAGTCATAGGGTTCCAGCCAGAGTCGACACAGGTTTTACTGTAGAGAGGGAGCTTATTTGCAACCAATGAGGACCAGTGGGCGTATGGCTCCTCTGAGCTTGGAAAAGCAGGGCTCTCCTTGTTTAGTGCATCGTGGTGGAGAGCATTCGAAAGCATGAATCTACTCGCACATGCTCGTAGACAGTCATATTGTTGTTGTTAGGGGCCATCAAATAGACGACAAGACACAAAACCCTGTGAACAACAGATTTGAAGCCTGTCCTATCCTAGGCCACCTTTACTGTGATGGAGACGCTTGAGCCCTTTGTTACAGTCACCTCTCCTCTCTTTCTCTGATCCTCCACATTTCCCGGCATGGTCTCTTTTTTTCCAAATCTCGTCTCTCCAGACAATATGCCCAAAATATGTGAGATGAAGTTTCACCATCCTTGCCTTGAAGGAGCACCCTGCTTGCACTTCCTCCCAGAGACATTGGTTTGTTCTAACTGCCAGTCCATGGAATATTCACTCCTCTTCTACAATGTCACAGTTCAAAGGCAGTGATTTTTTCCTTCAGGCTTCTTTATTCATTATTCAACTTTTGGATGCAAAAAAAACCTGAAAATACTATGGCTTGAGTCAGGCACACTTTAGTTTTAAACCGATATCCTTACTTTTTAGCACTTTAAAGAGATCTTTGAGGGTATATCTATCCAAGAAAGCCAGGAAAAGTTCAAGAAGGAAAGAAGCTACATGTGAAGTGGTGGTATGCTTTCTCATAAATAATGATCATAAACTCTGTCTCAGAAAATTCATCTGGAAAAAATGGCTAAAATTAGCAAATGTGCGTGTGTGTGTGAGAGAGAGAGAGGGGGATGGGGCAGGGGAGAGAAGAGAAAATGAAGGAAGCCAGAGAGAGAGAGAGAGAATAAGCTCTGTTAAAAATTATCTATTACAAATATATTTCCTACAAAGAAAATAAAGGCTACTTGCACTTCTTAATGGAGAAATTTAGGTTTTTAGAAAGTTTTTTACTTGCTATCTTATGGCACTAATCTGAAGTGCTGCTGTAACTGAAATATCCTGTTATGTTGCCTAAATCAATATTTCCCTTTGAGGAACTTCACTGAAATTCATTATTATGTAAAACAACCCTCACAGCAAAGGACTTTGATAGCCAATTTGCACTTCAGTTTAAAGGATTATGGAGAACTCATTTAAATATAAATCACCTCAAAGAGAAAAATGTGATCCTTATTCCATCCTATCATACCTTTCAGTTTGCTGCCGTGAATAATACCTTCCACTTATCTTCTTGGATGATCTTCTATAAATATAATGCTAAAATTCAAAGCTTGTCTTTTCTTTTCAAGAATGACTGTTACCTTAATATTTTTTTAATATATTTAAACTTTCCCAGCCAGCCATGAGACAGCTACTTTTTAAACAGAAGGCTTATATATTTGGTGTTTATGTCACTCTTGCTTTAATTTGTTAGGAAGAAAATGGAGTTCTTTGACTTGTAACTTCATTCTTTTAGCAGTTGCCACCTGAATTGCATGCAGTTTTGGAGAGATAACATGATTTCTCTAAAATATTAAAAACATTTTACCTACTCCACTCAACTGATTGCTTTCAAATCAGAATTAGTTCATAGGTTACCGTCCATTGGAATTCCAAGGCTGAGAGTCACAAGGTAGGAAATTACCCATCTTTCTCACATGACACACTCATAGATTAGAACCACTGGAGAAGCTGGGTCTTTGGAGTAGGAGTGCAACTTTCTACAGACTGTACCACCAGAGCTCCCTACCGATATATATGTATAGTAATATGTACATAAAGAAATTTCACAGATTGTGTGGAAAAAGTCAACACTCTATTTAAAGGAAGTGGAGATATTTTATTCTAATTCATTTTTAAATACCAATACCTCATTATGAAACTTACATGGCCCCACTTTTAATGCTTATTTGGTTGCATGTTAATTCTTGAACACCTAGCATTGAACTCTTTGTCCTTACACTTCTTTTTCCATTTTCTCTCAGTCAGTTGATAATAAAGTTCCCAGCACAGCAAGAGTGGCCAGCAAGAAATTGAGGGTATTGATCACAAATAAAACATGGAGAAAGCTACATAGCATAGGGATTATCCTGAACTGACTTACAGAATGAGAGAAACAAATTCTTAAACAATATGAACTTTGATAAATGTCAATAATTGCAGAGGAACTTCAGGCCTTTTGTTCATAGGACTGCTATGAGCCATGTTCGACTCAAAGGCAATCAACAACAACAACAAACTCTAAGAAAAGAAACAAAAAAAAAGAAGAGCCTCATCAAGATGGGTTGATGCAATGACTGCAACAATGGGCTTGAACATGGCAGCGATCATAAGGATGGTGTAGGGTAGGGCCAGGTTTCCACCTATTGTTCACTGATCACTGTGAGATAAGAGGCGACTCAATGACTACTAACAACAGCCAACAACAAACGTTAAATTACTCCTCATAGATGCTTGTGTGATATCTTAGCTCACCCATTGAGGATGGAAACTTCCTAGGAATCTTCTAAGAAGATTTTTGTTTTCTCCTTTTGGTTCTTCACAACTTCACATTCTATAAACAGGCATAAATTAGCAAATAATTCCTCTTCTCTACATCTGAAATCTCTCACAGTAGATGAAAGAATTATAGTCTCAAATGTTCGTGAAAGAATTATAGTCTCAAATGTTCTTCAGCTTTTAAAATTATGATTTGTGTGATTACTGAAAACATTAAACACTTTTAACTTAAGTCTATAGTTACGTCTCATTTGTATTTGATTTTTGTAAATGACTCCTATATAAATTTTCACATGAAAATGCTGTTGTTGGTAGATGCCTTCCATCAATCTTGACTCACAGCATCTTATGTATAGAGCAGAACACTGCCTGAATCTGTGCCTCCTTACAATCTCTGCTGTACTTAAAACCACTGCTGCGGTCACAGTGTCACTCCATCTCAGTGAGAGTCTTCTTGTCTTCCACTGACCCTAATTACTAGCATAATAATGCCTTTTTCCTAGGACTGGCTCCTCCTGATAATATGGCCAAAGTGTTTGAGATGAAGTTGTACCATCTTTGTTTTCAAAGAGAAAACTGGCTGTGTTTCCTTCTGGACAGAAGTGTTTGTTCTTTTAGCAGTCCATGGGATAGTTGATATTCCTTGACAACACCACAACTGAGATGCATCAATTCTTCATCGGCCTACCTTGTTCATTGTCCAACTTTCATATGTTTATAAACAATTGAAAATGCCATGGATTTGGTCAGGCACACCTTAATCTTTATACTTTATACCTTAATCTTTATAATCTTGCTCTGTAACACATTAAAGAAGCTCTTGGCAAATTTTCCCAATGTCTTTTGATTGCTTGACTCCTCCTTCCATGGATGTTAATTTTGCATCCAGGTAAAATGGAATCATTGACAATTTCAGTCTTTTCTCTATCATGATATTACTTATTGATCCAGTTTGTACGCATAGCTGTTTTCTTGGTGTTAAGCTATAATTAATACTGTATGCTTCGAATTATTTGATCTTCTATAGCTTGCTATGCATCAGAGAGCTGGACAATGATGAGGTATGATAAAAAGAGAATTGATGCCTTTGAGCTGTGGTGCTGGAGAAGAGTGTTGAATGTACCATGGACT